GACTCCAAGCAGGGCGCAGAGAGACTGGTTGGCCACTAGGTGGCTCCTGAGCCTTGGACCAGTGGGGAGGAGACAAGGGAGAGTGATATAGAAACCAGCAGTGAGTTGTTCCTGGATGCACACCATCGAGAACCTACTCGGCGTCAGGAACAATTACGCAATTACAGGAGGTAATTGCGCTCAGCTGGTGGTCATTAGGCTCCTCTCCAGGCTATAAAAAAGACTGCTTGTGACACCCCTCTTGCAAAAGTCAACGCTTTGATTAAAGAAAACGTAACTACCTTGGCAGGCTGGATTGCTGCCAAGGTTTATCGGACTTGCTGCCAAGGTCCTTATCTATTTGTTATGCTTGGCTTTCAGCCACCAAGGTTTTGGTGTTTTGCTAATTAAAGTACATTCCAGTTAAGCTTGTCTCGGCATTCGTTACTGCCGAGGAGGGGGTCAGAACAGGTCTGTGTGCTATAGAAGAATAAATACTCAATAATCAGTTGAGTGGGAAAGTATTGCTATATCATTCATGTTTTCCCTTAAGCTTGGGATTGCTAGGATTGTGGCAGGAAAAGATAGAGACTATTGAATTATCAAGATGCCTTCTGAAACATTTTGAAATCTATCTTAGTTCTGAATATATATTCTTTAGGTTAGGATGAAGCTGACTTTTTGTAGCAATTACTCACTTTACTCACTACAGAAAAATGAATTCAGAGTGTGAGAACTTCTAAGCTAACCTGGTATGAGAAGCCGGGATTGCTTATTGAATTCCAGTACAGTTAATGCAGGTGGGCTTCCACAACAGAGGTCTATTCCCAAAGACTTGAGGAAGGCCCATAGTGAGTCATAGAAAAAAGGAAATACTTGATAAGTAGAATTGCATTTATCTAATTAAAATAATTGAGAGGTAACTAAATTTTATTTTTACCCAAAGACCAATTCAAAAGATTGAACAGATTACTATGAAAACATAATGAAAAGATACGAGTGGTGAAGGATAAAGAAATACAAAACTGCTCAAACAATGTACTACACTAAATGATCCAGTCTATAAATCAGCAATGCGTAGCTATTTTCAAAGCCCACATTCAGCAATATCCGTAGAACAGAATTTAACCATCCATCTGCAGATTTCCAGGGAATAAATCAACCGGTAGAAAAGTACATTCTCTCATCTGACCTACAAGGATCTCAAAATAATTATTAAATCAGCCCAGTGAAATGGGGAGTACTGTGAAATGTGCATGGCTCAGATTCTTTTGAACTGGAGATTTATTATATCTTGCCTCAATAATCATTGGTGAGAAGGCATCAAATCTGGCTAAAGAGAGGTTTCCTGGCATGATACACATATATTAATAAAGCTAGAATAAATGTATTCTGGTCAGACTTTCATTATAACAATGGGGAATGGAGATGAGCATTAAAAATACATTGATTTATGGTAACTTCAGATAAGTATTCTGTCAGAGTTCCAAGTATCATGCAGAATTAAATCAGAGTCCAAGGCAAAACTATCCTTAAAGTTCCAATTTAATAAGTCAGACATCTTGGTACATCTGTGGATAGTTTTGCCTTGGACTCTGATTTAATTCTGCATGATACTTGGAACGCTGACATTATATCAAATCTCCTTTTAAAATAAATCACCAGCACCCCGGCAACGGGGGCTGGTGAAGGGGTGCTGGTTCCCAACACTGACCGGGTCAGCATAAAATATCTGTGAACAATTATGAGAAAGCCTTTTGAGATAAGAAGCTGAGATGAGATGCTTCTCTGCAAATCTTCAAAGGTGAAGGAATTTCTGTTTCAAGATTTATTGCATCTGGGAAGAGGCACAGCCTGAGGGAGATGGAATGGAGGGGGCTGGAGAGGCTTATTCTCCACACAACTAGAGGATGGCCAGAAGGTCTGATGAATGGAGATCCCAGCCACCCTCATGCAGTCATCTCTGATGGGCTTCCCGTGCATGCTTCCCCTCTTTCCCCCCAGCCAAGGCTTGAAAAAAAAAACTAGTGGAGATTTTAACGCCTTCCAAACAGCGATAAATGAAATGAACCAATATCCTGCAACTGAGTTGAAGACAGATTCCCTATCAAAATGGGAAATGCAACCCAGCCAGCAAGAAGGGATTTGGCCAGCATCTTTCACTTGGCAGCCACCGGAAATTGGGCTGCAGCTTGTGAATGAAGCACCATCAAATTGGGCTTTCTTCCCAGAATATGGATGGAAAAGATGCCAGTGGGCACCTCCTTGGCCATCAACATGGGAAAATCCTCCAAGCCAGAAGAGGGGGCCTTGGCACATAAACCCCCCTAGCCAGCCATCATTGGGTCAACTACAACCTGTGAATCAGGCAACCCCGGGATGGGTCTTAACCCCAGGTCATGGATGGAAGGGATGCCAGTGGGCACCTGCCCTCCCTCAGCAGATGGCACCATGGCAGATAACTGGGCAGTGGCCAACCGAGGGATTGACCTCCTCACCAGTTCCAGTCTCCCCTGCAGGGAATGCCCCAACAGGTTCTTACCCCACCTTCCTACAGAGAAAGGTTCTCAACAGTGGAAGAAGGAGGGATTACCAA